AGGACAGATGCCACAGATAACCTCCTCAACTAGACTAGGACTATCTAAGGGCTTTGCTGCCCCTTATTATCGTGGGAACAGCTCAGGTGTCAGACATGGAGGGACAGATAGTTAGCTGCCCAAAATGATCCATTGCTGTGTGGTTGGCACTTAAGGCCTGGTGGGTTACACCTTCGGTTTCTAATCACAATGTCAGTGGTTCAAACCCAGTAGTTTCTCTGTGGAGGAAGATGAGGTTGTCTGCTTCCATAAAGATTTGCAGACTTGCAATCCCTCTACAGGGTCTCAAGGAGTTCCAATGAGTTAGTGGCAGTATTCATTTTTATGTGACTGGCACAGGTAAAAGAAATTTAGGAGAAGCACTTTGGCTAGTACCATGGAAGAAGTGCAGGCCAATTTGAGGGCTAGCTTTGGTTCCTTTAGCTTCTAGGTTGTGCAATATTGGACAAGATGCTTAGATTCTCTCATGCCCCATTTCTTCATCTGTAAGACTGTGAGAACACCACAATATAGGGCTAATGAAAATTTGTATTAGAGACCTTTGAACATGAGAGTTGCTAAAAAAAATAGTTCTTTCCTTTTTCCCAGCATTCTCTTTCCTGTGCTCCGTGCTTCCTACTTTCATCCATGTAGTGATTGTTTTGAATCCTGCAAAGGCTGGACCTAAACTACTGCAGGGGCTCTGGGCCTCAAGGGCTGCCAGCTACTATGACCAAAGAAAGAGATAAGTGGGGAAGTTTTCATCGAAGGCTCTCACCACATCACTACAGACTTCTGTGTGATGTTGGAGGCTGTACCTTTGGAGCTAATTGCTTTTGAAGAAGGCAAAACAGAGCGGTAACTAGAACTGCATAAATGGAAATCTGAGCAGCATATGGGATAGCTTCCACTGTCTCCTTGGATGAGGGGGGATTTGATGAAGTTTTAGAAACTAAGGGATGGGCTAATTAATAAAGACAGTGGAAGTGCGAGTATGTATCTATTCTGCACTTGGGAGATTAAGAATTCTATAAGGCGCCTCAATGAGTTGGGCAGAAGTCATGCCAACCAGTGGAATTCATTATAGAAGTCTGTGATGGAAGACTTTGAATTAATGGTTCCAAGAGACTATGATTTTGGTGTCTGGGAAATTTAAGATCATTCAATTGAACTTCCCTTTATTGTAAAGGAAGAGTAAGAATATCCATGAGAGGACATGTCAGGACTCTGCAGTCTCTTCTAAGAGTTCTTGTCTTAAAATGAATACTGCAACTTTAGTGGTAAAAGTCAGCACTGTCCCGGTGACAATAGGACTCTAGTCTTTAGCCATCTTGGTACCAATGCCTGGCATTGGTTATGATTACTGGGAGTCATGGGAATCCGATGGGAAGGCTGGGGGCCTGGTCTCATCAGATTTTACACAGATGGATGGACCAAAGCCACCTCGAATGATATTTCATGCACATCCTAGGCTCGGCTTTTTTATGGTAGGTTTTTCTTAACCTGAGCGCAACTCTCTCCCATGGCTCATTTCACCCTCTAAGATAGCCTCTTCTCTGGATGCAATTCCATATTCATTTCACTAAGACGTAGTTAATGTGGGTAGGAAGTAAGCAAAATAAAACCAGACATAGCTTCTTACCTTATGGAACTCACGGTCTATATAGCTCATGAAACTTAGTGCATGTAAGTGAGGGGAATCCAAAGGAAGGTTTTAAAGTACGTTGTAATGCTGAGTATTATTACGCAAGTTGTTATTATTCAGTAAGGGCTTACTATGGCCCTGGCATTCTGCCAGGCCTTTGATACCCATTTATCTCATAGAATCCTCACAACAATTTTATCAGAGGTGATTTGCCTCTACTGTTTTACAGAAAAAGGAAATAAAAATGACATCATGATGGTGTCAATGAGAAAAATAGGCTGGATTGATGCGGGGCAGTGGTCTCTGGGGCCTGGGCTCTCGCCACTGCTTTGCACTGTCTCTTAGGGAAGCAGTGAGAAGGCGCAACTCTGATGGGTCCTGAGCCCTGGTTTGGGTGAAGAACCCTTCATATAGGTCCTGGGGGTCCTTGTTGTGCCCAGTCAAGCTCTCTGGAAGTCTGCCCTGGGTTTAAGGGCTGAGGCCTGCACGTTTGCTATTCTTTGTCTTTGATTCGATCACACTTTCTAAGAGGACTTAGTGGTGAGACGGTAGTCGAAGATAGGACTGAGGTAGTCCGAGATGACCTGGCCAAATACCACCACCCCACCACCCGTTGATTGGTCCTTGTTGTTGTATGTATCGCAGGGTTTAGTGTGGGACCTCTGGAACGTGATACAGACAGAGCATATTCTTCACTGAGGACAAGTTTGCATAAAGCCACATCATAGGGAAGCATGGGGTGGGGGTGGGGGCCTGGAGTGCTTGCGGAGAGCAGTTGCCTGGGAGGAGATAGCAGGATAGTGCTATGAAGTAGAAATTCTGAGTACCAGGACAGACGACTCACTCCTCTCCTTGTACATGGAATGGAGGGTTTTCAAACAGCGGGAGCAAATGCCCAGAGTGATCTTCTCCCAGGGAAACCTAGAGATAGTCCTGATCCAACGGTACCCTCAACTGAGCGGAAGAGTGATAGTCGGTTGGAAGGGAGGCTGGTCAGGGCACCTTCTAGGAGAGAAAATCCTGCTACCACGTCGTTATCTGGTCAACCCAAGAGACTCGCGAAGGGAAACCACACTCCCCCCATCGGCATCTCGAGGGCACACGTGCTCTCCCCTGTTGGTGGTTGACCTTCCATCCAGCTCTCAGCCCCTGTGTCTTCTGGGAAGCCTTCTCCAATTTCACTCTCCTGTAAACACCTTTCTTTCTCCTAAATTTCATTCTCCTTTAAACAAGTCTTTCTGTCTCGACCACCGGTTGTCTCATTAATGACTTTTTCTGGACCCATTCTTGGCTAAGCGTCAAAGGCACTAAATGTCACAGACTGCATCTCTCACTTCTCTGCCTCCACCGAGATGCCTTGCTCCTAGTGTTGTTCACATTGTTACCGTCTCCATAAATACGTTCTTAATGAAACTAAAAGACACAGTATGAAGGGCACTGGAGGGATACCAGAGTGGGGCGGCTATATACTAACAGGACATCATGCTTGGGAAAGTAGAGGGGTGGCAAAAAAGAGGAAGACCCTCAACCAGATGGATGGATACAGCGGCTACAACAATGGGATCAAACATAAGAATAGTTTTGAAGATGGTGCTGGCCTGGGAGGTGTTTGGTTCTGCTGTCCACAGTCACTATGAGTGAGAACTGACTCAGTGTTACTGTTGAAAATCCCCGCTGAAAACCTCAAGGAGTCCAGGTCTACACTGATGCACATGGGTTCACCAGGAGGTGCAGTTGACTCATTGGCTGCAGGTTGTGTGTGTTTAAAGCTATATTATTCAAATTCCCTTGGGTACTTTAATGGATATGCTTTCCTAGAGTGACTTAGCTTCGACTTTCATACCTCCAAGGATGTGGCACTTCTATCCTTTTGGCTAGTCCATCCTATATTTGGGTAGCTCCGTTAGAAAAGTAGATCTTGCCTTGGGGTTAACACATGCTCAGTCATTGTTTTCAGTCAGTCGTTCCTTGGAGGCCCATACGGCTAGTGTATTTTCCTTTCCCCTGGAAAGTCTTCCTATTTCTACAGACAGCCTCGCACCCGTCATCAGTCTCTTCTCTGGGCTCCGTTAGCTATACTCAGAGTGGGCTGGCTCCTCTAACGGATGGGTCTGCTTGCTCTCCTCTTTGTGAATGTTCCTCTTACAATGTGGTGGCTGAGAAAGAATCTAATCCACCAACCACGTGAAATCACAGCACGGGGGAAAGTGCCCCTCCCTTCTTTTGGGCATTTCCCTTTTATTGATGTGATGTGGGAGAGACTCCATCTCTGCGGTGACTGCTATTCTGTCAAGTCGTGCTGACTGCTCGCTCAACCCCCTGACCCCTATCTTATCTCTCTGTCGGATGCAGTTGAGCCCCATGTTCCCCTCAGACACACATCCCCTTCCTTCCATTCCCACAGCCTCTTCTCTGTCACCGTTCTCTTCAAAGCTTTCCCCTCTTGACTCAGGGTGACCTCAATCTCTTGACACTCCCCACTCTCTCTAGAAAAGGAACCCCCTGGGACCCAGTTGCATCATTGAACAGGTTAGGAAAAAGGGCTGGGAAGACGATGCCACCTTCATCCGCTTGGATTCACTACGGGATTTGTAGCAGAACTCGATTAAGGCAACCAGCATGGCTAATCCAAGGCCTCCGATCAGGATGTAGAACACTCCCGCCACATTGCTGAGGCTCAGAGCACTCGTCTTGTCCTACAAAGAGGGGGAAGGGGAGGGGGAGGTGGAAAGAGCAAAGTGAGTCGAGAGGCTAACGACCATCCAACAATATATTTACACACATGCACTCAAACCCACAACCCTCTTTAAACCTTCATAAGAAGTAGAAAGTATTTTATTCTTTCCTCAAGTATAAAACCATTCCCCAAGGGGGAAAGTGTGTGTGTGTGTGTGTGTGTGTGTGTATCTACTGATTTATTTGTGTGTGTGCATATGCACTCACACATACATATGCATCTATATACATATATATAATTTTTTATGTATATAATTTTTGTAGACTTCCCTGATTGTGTTGACTTTATAACTACTATCCCCCTCTTCTGTAATGCCTTTTCTAGAGAGGAAATGCTCCACCCCCCAAAGTCAGGTAAGCCTCTGCCAACAACATCTTGTCCCTCCTTTACACCCTAGTTTCTGTCCTCCCATTGTTACTCAGCAGCACACTGGGTTAGCTTGTTGTTTATCTCTCTGAACATTTTTTTTCTGAGCATTGGTACTTAAACTGATTTTTCCTCTACATATGCATTTTCTCTCAATATAGTAAGACAGTTATTATCAGTATAATAAAGGTCAACTGATATATACCTTTAACTTACTGCTCTGAGTCTCAATTTAGGAAGAAAAAAAAGGAAAGAAAACTAGGGGGCTTGAAATAGTAAAAATGAAAAAGGCACTGAAATAGAAAAATGGCTCTGTTAAATTCTAATAATTATACTTAATTGGTGTCGTTTCTCAACCTGCAATGCTTGCTACAACACACTAGAGGTGGACCAGGTAGCTGAATTGAAAAGCCTCTATTGCCTGCAGTGAAAGGTTTTGCATTGACTTCAGATGAGCAAAGAAGCAGGGAGCAGGGTGCTTCACTCCCAGGAATTAGGGGACAAGAAATGTGGACAGAGCTCATGCTGTGGAGCCTGAGAAATGCTGTAATCTGTTGAGACCATTTCTGAGTTCTGTCATCTCTAAGGGAGTTCAAAATGCTGAGGGATAGTACCTTCACAAGTGGTAAGCACGATACAGCAAAAAACTAGTGGGTGTGGTAGGAGCCAAGGGCTCAGAGAGAGAGAGAGAGACCTGCTCCAATGCTTTACACAAGGTTTAATGCAAGAGTGTAGCTTTAAATCTCAGAAGCACAACATCCCCAGATGTTGTGGTAGCTTTAACACCTTTGTTTATATTGTTTGCTCAGGCAAAGCAGGTGTCTCATTGAATTAAAATGAAACACCTCACTGGTACAGGTATAGACCATGGTTGGATGGTTCGTTGGTGGTATTGGGCAGGACATGACTTTTACACTCATCCATGTTCTCTTTTTCAGTCGAGGATGTAGGCTAGCCCACAAGAGGTGTCGTGTGTTTCCCTAGGGACACCTCTGACGTCTGTCTGTTCAAATGTGGGTGTGTTTAAAATGGAGGCTCCTACTGACCTGTGCCCTCATTCTACAGGTGCACTGTACAGGAGTCAGCTGGGTTGAAAATGGTTTCGGCAGCTGACAAATAGCAGCATGCCTCCCCACTGCAGAAACAGCCTTGGCCAGCAGAACAGTAGGATTATCTAAAGCACATTCTCTTGGTGGCTTCCTGTATTGCTGAAGCAGATGGCTTTTGAACATGGGTTACCCTTGGCAAGGCATAGCCCGGCTTTGGAAGTAGTGGAAATGACTACCCCGAGGGGCAGAAGTGCTCTTGCTCTGGTATTATGGCATGATAAGGGAAATGTGCAGAAATGAGTTTGGTTCTTGGTTTAAGAACTGGCTGAACAAGTGAATTCCCTGTTTTCTTTTCTAGGAATCTGATATTCTGCTTCTGGAGAATAATGTTTAGACTCCTTGGAAGACTTACGGCTATCAGAATTTATTGTCCTGTTTTATTGGGCCTTGGGCATGGTGGGATGGGCTGGGGGTACAGTAACTATTAGTAGCTTACATCTTAGCATGGAATGATTGACCGCATTGCTTAGAGGAAGTAGATGTTAATCAAATTGAGGAAAACGTAGCTACAAGGCTATGGGGATAGGCGGCTCATAGTGCTGACCTTACAAACAGTATTTCAATAGATGGAAGTCCACCTTGGGCCCTTGGTCACCAAGTCTGTGTTCTTCCTCATGCCTATTTTCCAGGTATCCATTTGGACTCTCTTTGAGGACATGGGGTGGGGTGCATGTCTTTTCTGTGGCTATTTCCCGTAGACCCTACAAGGGCAGCTGTTTCCTTGGTTCTAGAAGGTGGCTGTTTTTCTTGTCTTCTGATATATTTGGGAAGAAAAAGAGTCACAAGAAAGTCAGGGCTCTAGGCCAAAGAACTATAGGATGAAGAGGCTCTAGTGGCTGAGTTTTTGATTATGTCTGGAGGTGAAGAGCACCCACGCTTCAGAAAAAGGTCTCGAGGATGTGGAGATGGGGTCAGGGAGACACACATTCTGTACAGCCGAAGAGCATCAGGTGACTGCCACCTCCTGCAGGACAAATACTACCTTCGATTCTTTTCCCTGCAATGTGCTTCTGTAGTAGCTGGAGCAGAAACGACCTCTGGTACCTGGGACTCTCTCAGCATTCATATCAGGAAGCACACTTAGTTGTAACAGAATTCCCTAAATTTGGCATCATCTGTCAGAGTATGGGATGAGAAGGGGGGGTTGATGTTTTCTTAGTCCAGACAGTAGAGGAGCTTCCAATTTAGCGGGAATTTGTGATTTCCCTGTGTTCCCTTAGCGCTTCAGTGTTTCTGTTCTTTCTGAGGATCCCTGAGGCCCAGGTCTTCTGTTCAGTTGCTGCTACTGATTGGTTTTGACTCATGCTGGGCTCTCTTGGGGGTAGAGACAGAAGTTCCTTTCGAGGACCAGAGCTGATTACTCCTCTGGGTATCCATATCAGAGAGGGGCTTCCTCTTTAGCTTGTGTACAAATCGTTCTGTTCACAGTCCATGGGCAAGTCGTAGACTTCACAGCCCCAACTACAGAAAAGGAAGACATGGCATTTGAGCACTTCTCTGGGAGAACCCAGTCTCTTCCAATCCCATAGCAGCTGCACTTTCAAAAAGCCAGGCAGCTTGTGGGTGGGAGTGGGAAAGTCACAACTTGGCTCCCACCAGGAGGGGGGAAGAGAGTGACAGTACAGAGAATATTGACAGGTGAAAGGAAAATGAAAAAATCCCATCTCTCAGAATTGATGGGCTTGTTGCTATGGTGCTGAAGCCCTGAAGCCCTCCCTCCCCACTTCATCTGTTCTTTGAATCTGTTTGTTGTCTTGATTGCTACCTCCTTCTGTGGAAGGAAAAAAATCACATTTCTTTCTCTTTTTCCCGTATATGGGGTCTGTCCCAAACTCTCTCTGAATTGACACCCTTTCCAAAAGTGTTGGGACTAGCTCGAATCTTCATGAGGTCTGAACCAGGGTCTGACTGAGAACCTTGAGGCTTTCTTCATGGTCAGAAAAAGCTCTGGAAGCCACGGCCATTACTATAATTCTAGTCCATTTCGCTGGAACTGATAAATCTGGACCATGTCTCAGATTTCAAGAGCACGTGCTTCTCTAACTCCTCCCTCTCCTTCTTCTCTTCTAGGTAAGAGTGTGAACTCCTACAAAGCAAAGGCTGCCATTTCTGCCCCTTTCTGTATCCCACGGGATGTGGTAGAGTACATTCGCTGATGTGAATACACTGGGTTTTTAGGGACTGCGTGTAAGCCTTCCCCCTGTTGATTCTACAATCTCACTTTGTCTTTTAAGGCCACTCCCCACCCCCCAAATAAGTCCAATGTTTCTTCCATTTATTAGCTTCTATGCTACAGTAGAATTTCTCCTTTGTTTCTTCAAAAATGTGTGTTTTGGGTCTCAGAGCCATTTTCATAAGTGGTGGCTGATTTCATGGGAATGGAGACTGAGTGACTGGCTAGGCTCACTCATTAGCTAAGATCCAAGTGGGAGGCCTCCTAGAAGTGGATTTTATTCAACTAAAGAAACACCTTTCAAATACATAGGTAGAGTCCATCAGGATCGATAGGGATGAGTTCCTTAACTATGGAAATATCCAGGAAGAAACTAGAGGTCCTCAAAGGGATTGTAGCTCTGGACAGAGAGGTAAACCTTTGACCTTTGAACTTCATTTCAACCTCTAGAAATTTGAGGCATCTAAGGAGTCCCTAGAGTGCCTGGGATCATACCTTTTATAAATTTCTCCCTAGAGACTAGTCCCTTTAGGGGATGCAAAAATGAAACTCATGTTAATTGGCATCTTCTGCTGTTCCATTTCCAATCTAGGCCAGTTCCCTAGCCTGCATATTTTCCCCCAAGAGCAGCACAGAATGAGAATTGGTCCATTGTACTAATAATTGGCAAGGCAAATACTGTGAAAGTGAGGGTTGTGGGGGCGGTTCTTCTCAGCAGTGTGTGCTCAGGGACCGGCTGCTGCACAATGCACCGCAGTACATCCTGACTCAAAGCAAAATCACAGCAGAGAACTCAAGGAGACAATGTGGGTCGTGTAGGGAAACACAAGGGCTGGCAGTGGCCTTTTCCAGAGTGGGAGGAATTTTACAGAAACAGTGGCACCAGTCTGAGAATAAAGTGGCATGCTCCTAGGAGGCCTTTTCTATGAGTTGAATAGTTGCCTGGGCCATGAATTGGAAAGTGAAGGTCTTGTTTGCTCTCCAGAAATGTTTCTGGTTCATGACCCCAAAGGAAGTGTTTTAGAAGAAAAATCTTTGTTGCAGCCTAGTTCTTCCTCCTCAATCAATGACAGGAGATTCGGGATGTGTGGTCTCAGGACTCTGGTCAGGACCCAAGATGTTTCCACATTCAGTCACTGTGCTGTAGATTGGACACGTCGTAGGAAGGTTTCCATCTCAAAACACCCCAAAGTCCCAGGAGGTTCCTTTGGAGTCACAAGACTTCCCTCAATCTTTGTCTCTTCATTTGGGGGAAATGAAAAGGCATTTCTTTGCCTCTTGGGGTTTCTCTCTCCATTCATACCCCTCTGCCATTGCCCTCTCAGGAGGGTCTTCATGTAGGAAGATACAGTGGGTATATCAGGGGTGAATAGAAGAGAAAATAACTGATGAGTTCTCAGATGCCGCCACGTGGCAAGTGCGCTTTATCTGTGAGGTGGGCAGGGCAGGGCAGGGATTTGCACACAGTGCCAAGACAGAGATAGATGCCCATGCCAATCCTTCTGCCTACTAGCTTTTGCTGAGCACCAGGGCAGCCAGGTTGTTAAGCCCAGAGCAGATGAGTTTACCCTAGTGGTGGTAGGGCAGTACTGTCTGGTGAAAAGAATCAGGAGCCAGGAGTCAGGACACCTGAGAGGAGTGCTCACCTAGGTTTGTCACCAGCTCACTGGACAATCTTGAGTCAGTCCCTAAGGGAGCACTGCCTACTTCTGTGTGTTCTGGGAGGAAGCTTTAGATGATGCAAAAAAATTAAGTGCCACTGACTACAAAGAAAGGACATTACTCCCTTTTTAATGATCTTTCAATCCTTGTTATTAAGCCAAAGAGAAAGTGGGTTTGGGCCTAGTCTGTCTCTAACACCTATCCCTGGCTCCTCTCCCATTTAAATAGAAAGTAGATCTCAGTTGCCATGGTTCCTCAGTAATTCAATATACAAATATATTTTTTTAACTGTCACTAATTTCTGTACGGTTGCCTCCTATTACTTGTAA